GCTACTGCTGCTCAGCCCCCGCTCCTCCCGCTCTATCCTGGCTGCATTGGCCGCTCTCCATAACGTCCACATCCTGTCGTATTCCGCCATCATCGTGTCGAAATCCATCTCCTCCGGCGGCACCCGGAAATTGTCATGTGGGTTGCGTTTGAGGTATTTACCACAGAAGTACTCCATCTCCTCCTCAGAACTCACCTTTTCCAAATCCACATCCACCTTGAGGACATTCAGTGGTATACGACAGTTCAGGCAAATCTGTTTCAGATCCACCTGGCAGTTCAAGCAGTAGTAGGCACCGCATTCGGAGCACTGAGTAAATTTCTCCGCAAATTCCACCTTATTATTGGGTTTGCCGCACTCCCCACAGGAAATACAGTAGGCACGCTTTATACCGCAAAAGCCCAGGTACCAGAGCGTGTCAGGATGTGTGAGAAGGTAGCGTTCCAGTATGGGCAGCCGAACCTGTCCCCGTTGGGTATTGAGGTGGCGTGTGCGGAAACGATGCACCATTCGGTTGAACAGACCCCGCGAGTTGCGAATGTAGGCCCGTAGCCAACCAGCTCGATCAGTTTCCCTCTGCGGGTAGTACCAGCCGCAAATTACATGCCTCAGCCGCATAACGTACACCTGTCAGTGTTGGGTAGGGAGGAGGTTAAACAAAAACAGTCTGTACGCAACATGTTAATTGGGAAATTAAGAACTTGCCGAATGAAACGAATGGTGCGAGTTCCGGGTTCAGAAGAAGAGGCAGCGATCACTGGAACAAGAATTTTATCTTCCTGATGTTTCGGATTCTAACCATACTAACAGCCAATACAAGCGAACACGCGTGTCCCAGGAAGCAATTGAAACGAAGAAGACTCGATCGCTGCGACAATACGTTTATTCGCCTGACGTTTCGCCATCCGCCGCGGATTCATCATCAGAGACATGAGTAGGACACCGTAGCAGAAACGGATAATGCATGCACAGACGTTTACAGTAGAGGTGACAATCGGGTGAGCCGTGAACTACTCGAATCATGGTTCACGGACCCCCAATCCATAAACAAGTGCAACGATTTTCCCAATCCATATTCAATCCTGAGATTCAATTTGG